CTTGTAATATCTTCTTGGTTAATAGTTCCTTTTATTAATGTGTAATGAGTTTGTCTCTTCTAATTTTGATTTGAAGTCTGCTTTACCATATATCAGAATAGCTGTACTAGCTTTTGGTTTCTATTTGCATGTCAAATTGACTTCAGCTCTTTGATTCTCAGCCTTTGTGTGCCTTTACTATTGAGGTGTGTTTCTTAGAGACAAGAGAAGTTTGGGTATATATTTTTGTAATCTAATCATCCATTCTGTATTTCTTTAATATGTTAGTTGAAACCATTTATATTTAAGGTTATTATTAGGAGATTTTTATTAATTCCTAACTACTACTTTTGTTAGTTGTTAGTCTAACTGGTTACTGTTGGCTTTCTCTTGTTTATCTGCTCCTCTAATGAAGTTTATTCTTTCCTGTGGTTTCTTCCTCCTCTATACATAACATTCCTTTTAAATCTCCTCTGTGGTTTTGTCTTAAAGATCAGAACTGCTTTGGTTTGTGTTTGTCTTGAGATGTATTTATTTCTCTGGTAATCTTAAAACAGCTCTTCAAGATATACCAACCAGCAATTCTTTACTTTCAGGGATTGAAATATATCATCCATGCTCTCTTGGCTTGTAGGGTTGCTTGGAGAGGTCTGATGTTAGTCTGATGTTCCTGTCTTTGTAGGTGAGTTTGTCTTTTTCCCTTATAGCTTTTAATATTGTTTCTTTGCTTTGCATTTGCTGTCTTGACTATAAAATGTCCCAGAGTTCTTATCTGGTCATGTCTGTTTTGAGTTCTTAATGCCTGTGCTGTTTGAAACTGTCTCTTTCTCTAGATTTGGGACAATTTCTGTTTCTTTGAATAATCTATGCCTTTAGTGTTTATCTCAGTGCTTTTTTTCTATGCAAGGAATTCTTGATTGTGTCCCAAAGTTCTTACTCATTGTTATTCTTGTCCATTTTTCTCTTATTTATGTTTGAATGTAGTGTTTTGTAAACCTTGTCCTGATATATATATATATATATATATATATATATATATATATATATATTTTTTTTTTGGATGTAGGTGAGTTTATTCGTGAAGATTTCTACTGCACTTTTTTATTTGATTTCTTGGATTTTGCACTTTCATCACTTGTGGGTTTTTTTCCCTCCCCAAATCTCAGCTTCCTTGCTGAAGTTTTCTTCTATGTTGTTGACTTTCTTTCTTTTTTCTTCCTTCCTTCCTTTTTTTCCCTCTTCCTCCTCCTTTTTAAAATATATATTGTTATTTTCTTGTCCACTTTACTGACTTTTTCCTATCTGTTGCTGACTTTCCTCTCTAGGTTCTGGAATGAATTATCTTCTTGTTTGTATTCTCTCTTACCAGAAAAAAACTTGAAATCTTCATCTGGCATTTTACCTATTTCCATATCCTTGAGTTCAGCAGTTGATGAATTATAATCTTCTGTAGAGTCATGCAGCCTTGCCTTTTCATGTTTTTTGTTTCTTTGTTGCAGTATGCATATCTGTTGGTTTGGATATCACTTTCATTGTAATGGAACCTTATAATGGGGGTCTTATCGAGCAACCTATTATTCTTTTATAGTTTTTTTTTTAAAATAAGTCATTTTTTATTTATTATGTACATAGTGTTCTGCCTGCATGCCAGAAGAGGGCACTAGACCTCATTATAGATAGTTGTGAGCCACCATGTGGTTGCTGGGTATTGAACTCAGGACCTCTGGAAGAGTAGCCAGTGCTCTTAACCTCTGAGCCATCTCTCCAGCCCAAGCAACCTATTCTTGAGAGCTCAATCCCCAGCATTATGCAGAAAGATAAAATAAAAATAAAAATAAAACTGTTGTAACAGCAGTGACAACATGCCATCCATGATATGGAAATACACTTAACATCAACATCAATGACAGATCACTAATATATCACCAAGAAGACCATATATAAGCTAGGCGTGGTGGTGGCGCACACACCTTTAATCCTAGCATTAGGAGGCAGAGGCAGGCAGATCTCTGTGAGTTTGAGGCCAGTCTGGTCTACAAAATGAGTTCCAGGACAGCCAGAGTTATGAAGAGAGACTCTGTCTAAGAAAAAAAATCAAACATATATATGATCATGAAGTTGAAAATAGCAAAACTATGGTAGGCTGTGTTATGGGTTTCAAATTGCTTAGTGTGTCGATGGTAAGTGAATGAAGTGGATGAAGGAGATGGGCAGAGGGTAGAAATAAATAAAATAAAAGGTGAGAGTTGAGAAAAATATTGTGAAAGAAAGGAATAAAGGGCAAAAGATTGGGGGGGAGAAAAATAAGGATTTCTCAATAATGTGTAAGTTCAAAACAAATTTAGATAAATGCAAAGGGAGTGGAAAAAAATAAAAAACATGAGCGTTTAAGGGCTGGCGAGATGGCTCAGTGGGTTAGGGTGCTTGCCGCCCACCCTGCCGACCTGCGTTTAACCCCAAGAACTCACATGTGGAAGGGCAGAGCAGACTCCTGCAAACTGTCTTCTGATCTCCACATGTGTGCCACGTGTGAATGAGAGCATGCGCACATAAATATAAAATGTAAATTTAATAACTCTAACAACATTAAAAATAAAGTAAAAACACTACTAAATACAGAGGGAGGAAGAGCAAAACTTGAACAAAGAAAAAGATAAAAGAACACCAAAGGAAAGAGAAAATATTGTTCAGTAACCGAAAGATGCATAAAAATCATCTTTTATCATAAGATAGATATCTGTTCAGTTATTAATAAATATTTATTTATTTTGTCATAAAATAAAAATAGTTGAGTGTATGAAGGTGGAATAATGAAAACATAAAACATTTTAAAAATACAGTACATTTTAAAAATACAAAGCCCGGCTATGTGTGTAATAAAAAAGGAACCATGGGTTAGTGAGACAGCACAATGGGGAAAGGGGTCTGCTGTCAAGCCTGATTCCCAGAATGCACATGGTTCCAGGAGAGAACAAACTCCTACAGGCCGTTCTCTGACTCTTACACATGTGTTGAGGGCCACGTACCCCCTCACACACACAAATATAGTGTATAGTTTTTGACTTAATAAATGGAATCCCAAAGGTGGAAAAAGATGTGGTGTTGGATCATGTTTCTGGGCCCTTGGGAACTAGAGACTGCCAGTTAAATGCAGGGGTGGGGTGGGGTGGGGGCTGTCACCCTTGTGGACTTGTGTCTCCCGTTACCGAGTCTCTACGGGACGAGTGTATGGTGTTCGACAGAGCCGGTATCTTGGCAGTTTTCCTTTACTGGCCGGGAGTCTCTGGTGACTATACTTGGCTCTGCAGTGCTGGGCTGGGCAGGTTGTACCGCCCTCCCGAGACTCCCTGGTCATAATCCTGGGGTGGCTGATGTTTTAGCTGGGGGCTGTCCCCCAAGTGCTTTGAAAGTGAGGAAAGCGGGGAACAGTACTGAGGTTGGCGCAGATGGGGGACCTATCTTTCCACGCTCGAAATCTCCTACTCCTCACCCTGCTGGAGGGCTGCCGCTTGTACGGTCAACTGCACACCCGGAACTTCAGAGTTCTCCGACTTTCTAGCAGCGAAAGGCAGATAGGTGGCTCCAGAATTTTAGCCATTGACTGGCCTCGTGTTCAGAACTATTAAATTCCAAGGTTGTTCTCAATCCAAGATATGTCTCAGGCCACCCAGGGAGAGATGATCTCTTGCTATGTACTTCCTAGCATGAGCCAAAGCTCACGTTGCCACCCCCTCCCCTTCGGCCTGTCAGTATCTATCCATCCTGCAGTCCACAGCTGCTTCTCTGTCTTCCCTCATCCAGGGCCTGTGTCGGGCCAAACCGAGGGTCACTGACCTGCAGCTGTTCCTTGGCTAGCTCACTTTTTAACAATAGATCCTATCTCGGTGCGGTGCCCAGAGCTGCCCTCTGTGTCATAAAGGGTGACAGAACGGCTTTTTCTCTGCTGATGATCTGACCACTTAAGGAGTCGCTGGCTCATCAAGACCTGTGACTGGAGGGCGGAGGGGTCGTCCTGAGGGTAGGCCTGCCAGTCTTTCTCCTGCTCACCTTTTGAAAATAATTTCTACTTCTCTCCTCGGGCAGCCAGGGAACTGAGTGGCCGAGGCCCTGTTTAGCCCACTTCTCTGTGTTGTTTTTAACCCCTCCCTCCTTCCCTCCATCCTTGTGGATTTCTGAAGTGTTTTCTGTCCTTTCAATAATGCCTATTTCCCCTTATGCTGACTTTCTTTTTCACCAGCTCACACAGAGGCAGCCTGTTCTCTACCATTTTACCGAGAAGACCCCAAGAGAGGGGTTTTAAAGAAATATATGCTTTGAGTTAGTTTTGGGGAAAAAAATCTACAATCATATTTACTTTGAAATGTAAATTTTTTCACATTAATAACTAAAAATAACTGTAGTCAATGTTTACTACAATAACTGTAAAAGTCTAGAAATCCAAAAGAAAGTTGCTTTTCTGATTTATTTATTTACAGAAGTAACCTCAGGGACCCCTGCTACTTTGCTTAACCATGGGTTCCAGAGCTGTCCCGTCCCAAGAAAAGTAAGAGGCTTGTCTATTTTATGAGTAAAGCCACCGAGGCTTGGATGAGATTACCCGTGACCTGGTTCCCAGAGAACCGCACCACCGCCTCATGCTCCTTGCCCTATCCCTTGTCCCCTGCTCTCTCTACTCCAAGAGGTCCCATTTGAATCCTTGTGGCCTGCCCAGATAACTCTTATTACATCCAAGTCTTCAGTTAGCTCCGGTTCCCCCACTGAAGTTTAGCCTCCCCAGACATACTAATACTCATTAGGTTTAACCCCACCCCCTCCTTTAAAAACAAAGCAAAACACACACACACACACACACACACCCCGATTCCGGACAAGTTCTTTCCTGTTTTGCATGGGAAATGGTGTGAGAGATGGTGTGAAAACTGGTGTGAACACAGAACAAGCTTGAGCTCCTCTGAACCTGTCTCACGGTTGGTTACTGTTGTACTGAGAGTGTCCTCAGGCCTCTTCTCTTTTCCTTCCAGATCATGTGTGCCCCACGGGGCAGGGATAGGTTTACCACCCCATCCTTCATCCAGCGGGATCCGTTCAGTCGCTTCCAGCCCACCTACCCCTACGTACAGCACGAGATTGACTTGCCTCCCACCATCTCCCTGTCAGACGGGGAAGAGCCGCCTCCTTACCAGGGACCCTGCACCCTCCAGCTCCGGGACCCAGAGCAACAGATGGAACTCAACCGAGAGTCCGTGAGGGCCCCGCCCAACCGAACCGTGTTTGACAGTGACTTAATAGACATTTCTATGTACAACGGGGGACCATGCCCACCAAGCAGCCACTCGGGCATCAGTGCAGCTACTTGTAGCAGTAACGGAAGGATGGAGGGGCCGCCCCCGACCTACAGCGAGGTGATGGGTCACTACCCAGGTACCTCATTCTCCCACCACCAGCATAGCAACGCACACAGGGGCAGCAGACCACAGTTTCAGCCGAACAACTCAGAGGGCACAATAGTACCCATCAAGGGCAAAGACAGGAAGCCTGGGAACCTGGTCTGATTCCCTTCAGGGTGCACTTTGCAAGGAGAGAGAAACCTCGGCAGGGAGAGCGAGGCCACCGGCCCCTCTGCCACAGTGTTGTCCAGCTTTACGTCGTACAGCTGAGTAAAACCAAATGTGCAAACACGGTCTTCGTTTCTGATTCCTGTCCTGGGAATTGCATGCAAACAAGACTGGAACAATACGAACTTCCATCCGGTTTGACCACAAACAGTGTTCATCTGGGGGCAGGGGTGGAGTCAGGGTTAGAGATGGTGTGAGCTTGGCAAAGGGCGTGCAGAGCAAACCGAGGATGCTTTGAAGACTTCATGAAAGTAAGACCCACAGAGGTATTTTTGACATATTTAATTCCAAAAGGAGACTGCCGATAAAGGAGGCCAGAATGGCCCGTTTTTATAATTAACTGAATAAAGAAGGAAGAATTATTATATATTATCATGGGGAAGAATCAGCCAGTTTGCTTTTTCTCCAAAGGTGTGAAACTTTTATTTTGTTTTAAAAGTATGAGTCAAAACTCCTGTTTTGTGTGCCAAGGTATGAAGCAGATGGAGGAGCGAGAGGAACTAATTTGTGTTGTGATGGTATGCTTTAAGAGTTGCACTATCTTGATGTTTAAAATACGGATGAGGGAACTGTGTTGTGTGAAGTTCTGTATGTTGTCACCTATGGATGGCTATTACGCCCCAGGAACACCCTTGAGAGTCCACATAGTCATACATGAAAGGTATTTGGGGATGTGCCCTGGCGTTTACCAAGTTACATACATTTAAGAAGTGGTGTGTTGCAAGAAGTTGCAGCCAGACGCAGTGCACTACTAGAGTTATTTGGAGAGGTTGGTGAAAAGAAACACCTGCATTGTGTGTATCAAGTGTCATGCAGAGCTAGCCTTGTTCCCAGCAGCGTCAGAGCAATTTAGACTTTTTTTTTCACTGTAGCATGAAATATATTCAGATACATACCTTATTTTATGCAATAAATTGTTTAAAATGCAAGGTGGTTATTTTGTGTACTGCTGAACTGTGTAGCACAGTGAGTCCCGTGGCCTCTCCCATCCTAGGCAGCTCTGTTGAGTCCTGCAAGGATATTCTGTTCAGCACCTGGCACCAGCAGTTGCTCCCAAAGCCCACTTGGTTTTCTAAGTGCCGTCCTGATGATGGTTCCTTATACTTACTATCCCCCTGGGCTTGACAGAGGGACACATTTGGCACAGTAAGCCATTACGTATCACCAGTGTTGCACGGTAGAGGAATCTGGGGCAGACCTACCCATATTCATGCCACGGACTCACTTCTGTCTAGTTCGTCTTTGAACTGTGGTCAGCTGGAACACAGAGGTGGTGGGGGAGGGTACGACTCAGGACAAGGCATGGCAAAGTCGCAGCTGGACAATGGCTTCTCAGTTTTTGAAGTCAGTTGACTATTTCTACTCTTTCTAAACATTCTTACGTACAATAAAAAGCCCCAGTGACTTTCTTCTGCAGATGTAAGAGCTGGCTCTGTAACTGCACCATGGTGGGCTCATGTGCAGAGGCAGGGCCGCTTCCTGGCGGTCTGGCCTCTGCACGTAACAGAATGAACAGGAATGGGGAGTCAGCGGCAGTTTGACACCAAATCGGTGTGCGTGAGTGCTTGTGTGCATGTGTGCGTTACTGTTTCCGGAGGTATGTGAAGTTAGTATTCTCTTACCTGAGAACTAGAGATTGTTTGAAGCCCCGAGTCGTGTCTGACCCCAGGCTTCCCATTTCTGCTTGTCTCAGTAGGCAGGCCACTGGCTTGGTTTGAGACTTGACATCTCCATGGGATTTATCCATTTCACACAGTAGCATCCACAGGAATACTCAGTCAAAAGGAGTGAGGACGGATAGGGAACAGCTATCAGCCCATGCTTCAACACTGCTTGGAAGGATGTACATGTGAGGGTCTCTGGGACTCTGGAGTTGCTTTTCTGTCTTGTCTGGTGATAGTCAGTGGCCTCTCAGGCTACAGGTTAACTGGGCCAAAGATGACCTTTCCCATTGCCTTGAGGCTTCCTGAAAAGTTTCTGCCTCCTGGTGACCTATGCTTTCAGACTGCTTGAATGGGGCTCTGAGATACAATGGCAGAGGAAGGAGGTATGTGTCCTCCCTGGGGTCTCACCAGTAGGGGACTTGTCATGGATGACTGCCAGGGAAGGTGAGGCTATGGCTCTGTCGTTCCAAATCAGAACTGTAGTTTTGGTGAAGCTGGTGATCTCACCCTTTAGTTTCCACTCCAAATGGTTTCTCAGTCCTTACTTTAGTCTTACTTTTCTGTCAGCTGTGAGAAAGAGCTAAGATCAGAGATTGGTAAATTCCTTCGGAGCTTATATGGACATTTTGTAGATGCCAACAGTATTGGCAAAACATTGGGTACCCTAGGGGACTGCCTTTTTAGTGTTCTCTCTCTCTCTCTCTCTCTCTCTCTCTCTCTCACACACACACACACACGCACACGCACACGCACACGCACACGCACATCACCATCATCAACTGTGACTTTGAAGTCTTTGAGGCTGGGTCTCTTTAAGGAATTAGTTTAAAAGCCAAAGCCAAGGTCATAAAAATGAATTGGGCCATTTCTCTCAGCACAGGGAGGAGGAGATTTAGATAGGAGTAGCCTTCTAGCCGACAGTCCATGCCATGCTGTCTCCTGGCTCTAAGGTGCTAAGTAGCAGCTGTGAAGACGGGCTTACACAGCAGGGGCTGTTGTCTTTCAAAAAGCTGGGTGCTTAGACCCCGAGGGTTCAGTTTAGAAAGCAGTGAGTTCAGGCAACTGACAATAGGTTATAATGATAGATTATTCCCATGGGGCACTGCAGTAAAGATTTGCATTGTTAGAAGGCGCAGTCCTGGGCAGGCCACTCTGACTTAACTGTTGTCTCATTGGATTTCCAAGAATATGAAACATAAGGCCTACAAATCCATCTACTGGAATTCAGTCTTTTGGCCTGCATTTGCTTTTTCAGAAACTCCATAAGCAAACACTAAAGCAATATTTAATACGAGATTGTGAAACCAACTACTCATTCAATTGTTTACTGAAAAAGCATGCCCCATGACTTCACCACAGACACAGACCTAACCCATGAGAAATCATGACATGGCAGTGACTAAAACTTACAAGTATATTGTGAGAATTAAATTTTTCCTTAGTAATTTTTAGCTCAAATTCAAGAGCCAAGGAGCCAAATGGGATGGATGCTTCTTCACACAAACATGAGACTTGGGTACAAAAAGTATATATGTGTGTGTGTGTGTGTGTGTGTGTGTGTGTGTGTGTGTATTTAAAAAATATATATTTTAAATTCTAAGTAGCTCCATTTGATCTTCATCTTTATTTTACTGGGACCAAAAGGAAGTACTTCTAGAAAGCTGCTTTGATCTAGAAGAATCTATTCATATACCTGCCTTTCTCACAGGTGTAGGTTTTCCATCTTACTCAACTGTTCTTTTTTAGAATGACTCCTGGGGTAGTCCTTTTAAGATGCCCTCAAGCTGTATTATTGAGGTAGCCCATGTGGCCTCCGTTGTGTTTTGCCAACACTGTTGTAGATCATGGCTATTCCTGGACTCCATGAATTAGGCAATGGAGACACAATGTGCATACTGTGGATGTGTTTCCAGAGTTTTGCTACTTAGAATGGCAGCTCTATACCCCCTAAAAATCTCAGCAGTCGGGTTGAGGGGAGTAACTGGGAAGGATACTTGCTGTTACCTTTTTGCTTTTCTCTCATGTCAGTCACCCATCCAGACTTGCTTGCACCCTAAAATGCCAAGCAGTTTCATGGCTTCCTTAGACTGTACTGATTCCAACAAACCCTGTTGTGTGGCTGTCAGGAGCTGTTCACAGTCCTTGGAGATGTGGACAAATCACAATAGCATTCTCAGTCTGCCACAGTCCATAGGTTTTAGGAATAAAGATGTCATGTGATAGCTGGCTCTGCCAGCTGGATGTAGCACAGGTTGATGTCGGAGCACAGGGCCAGCTTGCTGAGCAAGGGACTTCTCCCTATAGCCCATCTTTGTCCCTAGGTTTGCTGGATAGCGTAACATGACAAGGCTAGCCTAGACAGATGATGCGGTTGCGCACACACAAGCCCATCCCTAAGAAGCGGAGGTGCCTTGTGTTCTGACGTCAGATGCAGGACCCCAGCCCCAGCGTGCACTGCTCACCTTCTTCGTGCCTCACTTGAAATGGTGCTTCTTCAACTGTTTGCTTTCATTTGTAAGGTGCTGTATATACGTTGAACATATGCACATACTCTACCCAATGGGTAGAATAAGAAATTAATACTGTAATATACTGTATAGACACCAGTTTTACCAGAAACGGCATAGAACTTATGAATGCCTACGTACTCCATCTTTTGTAAGGAAACTTGCAAATGATTACATACAGATAAAGTCTATGTAGTTTATTTTCCTATTAAATATATTAACACCATGGAATGAAGTCTGAACAAGCAGGCAGCAGTTTATGACCAGCACATACATAGGAACTGAGTTGCACCTTTGCTCGGAAACACTTTAGCAATCCCTAAGATGTTTTTATTTTAATCCCTTTAGAACTAGTTAGCCCAGTTTAGTTATATTTTAGGCGGGGTGGGGGAGGAGGCTGCTTTTCAGCTTGCTCTGTACGCAGGCCTTCTCTCTTGCTGTAGTATCAATTGTCAGGCCTTGGTGGGATGTGCAAACCTTTGAAGACACGCATGACATCAGGCAAATGAGTAACCCGCAGCAGAGGCTATTCAGTCTCAGAGGGCACTTGTGACCATTTGTGTTCCATGTTCTCTGTGCCTTGTCTTATAAATGGAAGCTATGGAGCCAATGAACTGTCTGGAATTTGTAGGGAGAGTGCCTCAGAAAACAGATCCATTGGGAAAGATTAGGGTAGGGAAAATGTTTGGGGTTGTCATTAGAGAATGGCCAATCAGCCGAGTACAGACTCCTAAGTCCATTCCTATTGTGTTCTGGGGTAGTCCTGACCCCTAAAGCAATTAGGTTTTACCATCAGTTAGGTTACATGTTAGGCTGTATGTAAAGTCACACTTCTCTCTTCCAGCTCCTGTTTAGTCTTTAGTGTCCAATTGTGGCTTTGGTATTTTTAAGTTTCTTCCTTTGTCCTCTCCCGCCCTCTGCCCCTCAAGCAAAGAAGCCTTGGTGTCCATTAAAACCACCATGGACACTTAGTGCGATCCATGGAATGCTGCCATCCAATCTAATCCAGTATGCCACCAGATGATATCTGAGTAATTCCTGGCTTTTTATTTGTTCTGTGGTATGTGCTCTGACTTTGAAAGTCAGAAATAGAATTATCCCCCAATCAGGTAAAAACAATGCTCCAAGCTATTACTAATTATTCTTAATGTGCAACTCTTAATGCCAATTCAGTCCTCTTTAACACCTCCCTGCAAGAGCTGGGCAAAAATGACAGTGGGTACCTCCTAAGTCTCACCCAAGTCCAAGTTACTGTCTGTCTACTGCAGGGCACACCCTCAGGATCCCTGGGGGTCAAGACCTGAGGTCAATTACTGTCAGAAAATAGGCACTTTACTGAGCATCAGAATGTTCTGGACTCAGTAGTAAGATGTGCCATCAACCAGACTCCTTTCTGCAGATCCGGCCCTGGCTGAGCATCCCTTTCAATGATGCTGGTTCTTTCTGATGTGCTTGCCTTTCAAAAAAAAAAAAAAAAAAAAAATCACAATTTCAACTAATATCCTTGTTGAGTTTAAAGTTGTTTTAAAATATATACAACACTATCCACAGCATTTAGCTCATTTATTTTTTATTATAAAGCAATCTACTAAAAAAAGTACAGCTGTATTTGCATCTTCCGATCTTTGTGAGCTATTATAATTAGAAGTCAAAGTCCTTTTGTGTTTAAACAACCACATGCTTATTCTTTAACATATTCCTGGTCAGGTTCGGGAATGATTCACAACTGTTATCCACCTGCGTCTGTTGCCCGGGTGACGATGCAGTTTAGGACTCAGGTCTGTGATTGCAATACTTTTGATGACAGATGTTGCACAAGTGCTGTTTGTTAGTTATGAAATCAGGTTTTCTGCTTGTTCTTGATGCCATGGTCAAATCATAGCACAAAGTCATTAAAAATAATCAGTGATAAATATCTGTCCCCTGGGGTTGTGTTTGTTCACCTTTCAGCTACGACGTACAAATAACAGAAAACTGATGTATGATCAGTCTCAGAAATATACTTTCTTTTTTGTGAGTTGGAGATGGGACCCAGGAAAGAGTTCTTCCTTGGGCTACACCCCAGGCCAAAGGATAGTGCTGATCATCCTCTAGTTCCTGACTCAAGGAAAATATCTGCATGTGTGTGCACGCACAGCATATGTGTACATGTGCCACAGCTGGTGTGTGGTGAGGACAACTTGCTGAGTCAGTTCTCTCCATCCACCAAGGGATGGCAAGTTCAACTGTCAAGCTTGGCAGTGAACGCCTGCAGTCCCTATCTCACAGTCTGGTTGCTGACTTTTAAAAAGGATTTCCTAGTGTCCTGTAAACCTAGACAGAGCACAGCACAGACTTCTCAATTCTGAGTTCTAACCTGGGGTGTTCAGAACTGGTCCTGAGAACATCTGACCTCACGGGTTTGGATGGCTGTCACACAGCAAGCTCAGCAGGCCTGATACTAAATGTTGAAGATCCCCTGACAGTGGAGGCCTTCAGAAGATGGTCTATGACCTACACTGAGAGGAGAGTATTTTATCTGTGCTCTAAGTGTATGGATTCTAGATGACACATGTATGCATAAAGCCCGCAAACCTACCAAACAATGAGAATAAGTGAATTTAGCATGATAGTAAAAAGATTTATTTTTCCATTTCTGTAACTTTCTAATAAACAAATGGAAACAATTTCAAGATCTTACTGGAATAATTGTGTGGGCCCAAATTCTAGTCCTACTGTTCATCTTCAATGCAGAGTGAGGTTATATTTTGATGAGGGGATTATAAAACTTAAGCAATAAAGGGACTCTCATCCTTAGGCCCCAGCAGACCACACTGTGCTCTCAGAGAACTTCGCAGTTCAGCAGCTCATTAGAGACTGTCCCCAGATCTGCCCAACCTAACACCAGTGTGAGCAAAGAAAGGATGACATGTGCCAGGCCCCCTCTTCCCTCTGCCTGGTCCTGATCACCGAGTACGAGCAGATCTGAGTTCCTCTCAAAGAGTCCAACCCAGGCTGTCAGAGCTACTGCTTCAGGGAAGCAGGAGGCACTGCTGAGCAACGGTTTTGACACAGCAGGACGGCTGAGCCCTTTAAGAGCATGAGGCTGGCACTCCAGTTCACAATGGAAGAGTGCCTCGTGGGACTGACTATCTTCTGCCCAGGTCCCCTGGCTGAGGACCGAGCAGGCTCTGATGCAGAAAACAAAGACCTTACAGACAGCAGCTCACCCTCGGCCTTTGAGTGAAAACACCAATTCTGCTTCTCTGTGGTAACACTTGCATTAACAGTTTATAAGAAACTTGCTACTTAAAACAAGTTAGAGTTCCCTCACTATACTGTTTTGATCTGTTTGGCTTACATAGATTCCAATTAAAACACACACTGGAAATAGCAGCTCCAAAAAAGCCTTTGTATTTGGAAATTCATTTTAAACACTGTATTTCTGTCAAGACTTTAACTTTTGCTTCAATAATGCAAATGTGATTTGCTCTGCTGTACTCACTTCCAAAAAAAGAAATTTAAGAGCAAAAGCTGGTTCTAATAATGTGACTCCAACAGTGATGACTAAAACCACATACCCCAAAGGCCTTTCAAGTGAAGAATTCCCTTAAAAACCTTCAACACTGCAGTTTACAGTCAGCGGCTTGTATAATTTAACCTGTGAAACAGTGTTCTCACTTAGCATTTCTTCTGTTACCGACCTTTTGTGAGTATAGAAACAATCACATGAATGAACAGCAAGTATGTCTGAAGCCCCAGCACAACCAAGCCACCTCATTCTTCCAGAGGCCACCAGCCCAACTTGGTTCCCACATTCTAAGCATCTCATGCTACCCTGAGGTAAGTTGGGACACACTGTTTGCCACAGCATTTTTGGTGTGGGGTTTCGAGGTGACTTGGTCTTGTAAACATTTCCTACATACTACAAAGAGCAGTTCAGACCTTGGGCCCAGCAGACTTTAGATGGTTCAAGGGCTCACCTCAGGTAACTAATGTCCCTGGCTGGAGGTAGTTCCAAATTCCCATCTATAAAGCACGTGCAATTGTTTCAGCCAGGCAGAGAGAAAGACAAGGGACTACCTAAGGCAGAGACAGTAGCCTACACACCCTCAGTGTCCTCATGAGGTGGCGGCAGCTGCTCACCAATGAGGTCCCATTGCTCTTGCTGTCCAACTTGAAGGTATGAGTCTTCTAGGTGCAGGTCCTGTGGAGGCTGTTCCCTGCATACAAGGCACGCATCTGCCAAGGCAGCGAAAAACACACATGCTTTGTTGCACACAGTTGTGTGGAAGTGCCTGGAGTTTTGTTTTCATCTTGTGGTACTGAAAATACTTCATAGGAAATCTGTCCTCTTAACAAATGAATCATAGGCTTTAAATTTCCTTTTCTTGGGACTCAGCGAGGGCAAGCACTCTATTTGGTAAAACCTAGTATTTCCTAAGGCTATCATAAACTTCTCTGCACTAACGTTTTCCATAAATAGCAGTTTCGAGGGCTTCAGGTCTTCTAGCATGGCAGCAATTAAATGGAAATATTAGTCTCAGCTGTCTTCAAGTGTGGCGCCGACACAGGTTCAGACAACATGACCACTGCCTAGTACTGTACATGGGCAGGAAGGAAAAGGTGAACTCGTTTTGAACCAAGGAGACAGTCGGAGAATTTCTTGAGGCAAAGTGGTCCCTGATGTATGTAATAGTTAATGTTACTATTTATACTTAATGCATAAAATCTAGACTTGATTGAAGTTTTCCTTCATTGATTTCAATGCGGTAATTAGGAAAAGGCAAAAGGTATTGTATGACTGGAAGAGAAACGTAGAGTTTCAAGTATGGATTTAGTTGTGTGAAAATTGCAACCTGAATGCTTTACTAAGGCCAACTTCACTAGGTGGTGACAGAGGACAGAATAAGACTGGACCTTTAGCTTCCCCAGCCTATCCCAAACTAAGGGGGAAACCAAGCTAGAGGAAAGTCACAGACTAGTTCAAGTGTCTCCCTTTGAGATCACTCTAAGAAGATGATGAACAGAGTACAGTCAAAAGGACGTTAAGTTACCAGGTTAAAAGTCAAAAATGAATGGTATCAGCAGAAGAGCCAGGCTATGTGTTACCGGCAAATGTAATGAACTGGCTTGATTTTTATTTTCCTTTAGTCCAGGAGCGTGGCCTGGCATACCTAAGTACCTGCCACAAAGGGAAAGGGACCACAGGAGTTATGACTGGCTGAACTTCAGACACAGGTCTTTGTGTTTTTTTCTTTAACCAAAACATGCCTTCAATGTCCTAACATGATTCATCACTGTTATTTTCTACAGTTCTTTAAGCCTTGGATTTGAATTAACGGGGGTAAAAACAAAGGTAAAAGCTGATCTAAAAAACAAAACGAGGAGTGCAACTAATGAATGGTCCAGCTTGCTCAACAAAAACTGCATTAGGTTTTGTGGACATACTTGACAGTATTTTTTACTTTGGGGCAATGTACACCTGTTTGTCACTGGTCAAAAGAAGTACAGAATACACAAGCTGTCTGTCTCCCATAACCTGCCTCTGCTTCATCAAGGAAACAGAACGTACATGTTGCCTGGGGTTCCGGGGACCAGAGCCCTATAACTACACTGCCGTGGCCAAATACTAAGCAGGTAAGGACACCCAGCACCCATTGTATGAGAAATAAAGCAACAACTTGGATACCACAGTAAGAATCCTAAAGTATGAATTTAAATAAGTAAAAATACGCTGTTACAGAATCTCCAATCTAGCACTCAGAGGTGCAAACAAGGCAACAGCTGAAACCATGTTCACATAAACACACTGTTGCCCTTCCTAAAATCAATCCAGGATTGAGAGTTAACATTGAGAGTTAACTGGAAAAGGAAGATAGAGAATTGCCGTTATTTTGTGTAGCATCTTTATGGAATTGTTAAAATATGGCAGAAAGTGCCTTTTACTATGTGCATGGATGGGTTACAACAGGGGCAATTTCATCTTGCTGAAACAAACAGGATGAAGTTGGGTTTCAATGCTGTTGCTCTAGAAGATGGTGGGTCCAGCCAACGGCTCCTGCAAGCTTCAGGTCCCTGTAAGAACACTGTGCTGCTGTGCACACTGACCTGCAGGGCACACTTGCACTGAGCACATTCCCTGCACACGGGGTCCTGCTCATATCAGTGATTTTCTGCTAACACTTAAATTAGTCAAAATTCAAGACAGAAAAGGCTGACAATGGAAGGTGGACAGAAGGAAAGTTTCCAGCTAATCTTTTCAGGAAAATCAAGACGCAGGAAGCATACTGTGGCAGAGAGTCAGATTTCTCACCACCTCAGAACAAACCATATCCCGCTCTGCCCTCAAGGGTTCTGAACTCAGGATGCATTCTTCCTACTATGAGGATCACTCTTATCAAAATAATCAAATAACTGCCACAGGATGATTAGGATCTGTGATTACTGCTAGTGACTATCAGTGATGTATAGGGAAGAATACACCTTAATTTTCAAAGCTCAATCCTGGAGATGTACGACAATCACAAACTTGTTTTGACTAGTTAGGATGAACAAAGGACATAGAAATCACAAAGGAAAAAAAAATCTCAGAAGGAAAATAAATCCAGTGAGCCTAACTTAGCATGTAACTGTGAGAAGCTCAGAGTACAAGAGAAAGTTCTCTAAGAAGGCCATGCCAAAGTTCACGGCAAAAGAGAAATTCTGGGAAAGGAGTGGTCCTTAGACCATTCCAATCATCAGGGAAGATGAGGTCCAGACTCTGCTGTCCTTTGGATATATAACTTCCTTCTCTTTTCTTTCTTTCTCTCCTTCCTTCCTTTGCTCATGGAAACTCCACTTAATACAAAACTGGCAAATAACACACACGTGGGCCAGTGGAGAGCAAGCACAGTTACTACTTGAAGAATGAGGAGGGACACCCTCCTTACTGCCTTCCTCACACCCGTTCTGCAAATTTCCAAATCAGGGACCCACATATCCCTCAACACATGCTCATGCGCTAATCAGGCAAGGGGTCAATGACTGGATGATTCTGACATCATGTCCTTGCTAAAGTCAATGAAATCGTGAGCTCTTAATGCCAACAAGTAAGTGGCATGCCAGAAGGGCACTTAAATAGGGCAGAAAAAACTTTGGAACATTTAAATTTACTTTATTTTAGGTCTTATGGAGACTCAAGTTTTGGAAATCTGAAACAATATTTTAGAACATGAACTGTAGCTACCAAGAAAATTATTCCTCTAATTCTACAACAACCTCATTTTAGGAGCCCTTTAATAATTAAAAAATATGTGTGTATACTGCAAAAATCTCTATTTCAAAAAGAACTCAGAAAGATGAACTCATTTTCCCCTGCCTCACTTGCTAAATTCACCTTCTGCCCATCCTCACTAGTACCATCTACAATAGTTCCATTTACATTTGAAGCAGTTATGAAATCCTAAAGACTTGAACCCAGTGCAAAAGACATTAAAGAAGCTCACTGTGTCTAAAATACAGCTTCATTTTCTTCAAACACCTCTTCTGCCCACACTATAAAGATGCTCAAGATTCCCAGAACTGTGGTCTAAGACCCCAGAAACAAGACAACTGCCCAGCTCCAGCTCACCCCGAGCATAAAGAACTCAGAAGATGGAGGCAGATTTATAATGGAAAACTCGGGAATATTTGAAGTCTTTGTTTTATTATTTCACTATGGGGAGAAAGCTAATCCTAATATACATACATCTCTTCCCTTCGGTGAAATCCAAACAGCACCCCATTTTGCACAAAAGGCTCTCAATGATGTGATATTTTGAAAGGCTGGTTTTACTCTTATTCTTTAACAAACCAAGCCTCTTACCTAATCCATTTTCATTTGAACTTGTTCATGTGCTAGGCAAATGTTTTCTGTCCATTAAAAAAATAAATAAATCTCAGTCACAGCTTCATTCATGACATTAACATATCTTTCAAAAGGATAAATGTGCATACCAGACATGGAGCTTCCGGTTTCCCTTGCAGCTAAGAGAAATGCAAGATTTGCTGTAAATAAAATGCAATTCAGCATATACAAAATCTCTATTATACAATGTGATAATTTAAGGTGACATGTTACTGTTGTCTGCTATCAACACACTGCAGGCTCCCCTATAAGTTGTTTGTGGTTAGATTTAAGGATAATATCGGCAACAGCATTTGTATGACATCTCTGATGCCAAATAGTAATAACGTAACTTCTCAATCTTTAGAAACCTTTTCATTGGATTTAAAAGCACATACAAGCAGCTCCTCATTTGCTATAATTGGGAGACACAACCCAGACATAAAACTGAATGGTGATAAGACTCCAATGGACTAGGCAGAAGATATCTACACAGGACAAGAAAGTTGCAGTCTCATGATTATTAGAAATGTCCTGAGAGTCTCAGATTAACCTCCACTAGATGATATATATGCCCTACGCACCAGGACAGGTACAAGGTTTTAGGAGAAAGAATTCTATTACCACATTTTAGCATGGCATTCTTGGTTGTTTAAAAGGGGGGAAATATCACTACATCAGCATTTAGTATTTTACTGTTTAAAAGCATGCTAAAGTGTGTTGTCCTGTTTATACTTGAAAGTGTGCCATCAATTTGTAGCAGTGCACTGAACTCTGCCTCAGATTAATCACCTGCCAACGAACAAAAGAACAGAGGCCCATGACAAATCCCCCTCTCTAATGCTTCCAACCACAGCATTCTCACAGTGCTTCCATACAGTGACTGGGTATCTCAAATGTGACATTATCCCCTCATTCTCTAAATCTGGCCAAATGAAGCATTCGATGTACCTCCTGTCAGGAAGCAGGGACTGATGGGATAGCTATGTGGCAAGATCTCTGACATTCTGATGGCAAATCAAAACCAATGCCCCCTACAAAGGCCATTACTTGCTCCAGTGTCACCCCAAGGGTTAGACCTGAAGGAAAGCTGAGAGTGCAAAATGAGACATAGGCACTCCCACACCAAGAGAGAGACGTTCTACAGGCACGGGACTTGCCTGACAGCCACCGATTCATTACAAGCTATACACAGTCAGCAGAATATTTAAGCAGGAATTTTCCCTTCCAATATGAGAAACACTAACCACAATTCTAATGAGACCATGACAGACAGGCCTCTTTTGTTTTGACCAGGGATATAAGGACCAAAAATCCCACAAGGGTTTTAAGTAGTAGGAGAGATCTGAGATGAACCACAAGGGTGCACTGCCCACCTGTTCTCCATTCTCTGCATCGCGCCCACCATGAGCCTCCATTCTCGAGCATAGGCAGTTACACAGACTTGCTCCTTCCAAAATCAGCAGTGGTCTTTCAAAACTTGATGTAGTTAAGAAGAGTGGACTTGAGTTGCTCATGTATGTGATGTCAATAATAAAGTTTATAAAAAACTTTTACTCTCCTCCAAAGATTAGCTGGAGAAGACAGAAGTGAATTACAAGAAAGTCTGACATTCCAAGTGTCCAACCACCATGCACAGTCAAGTTTGAAAAAGAATTTGCTTTAAAAATGTGATTTTGACAAGCTCCAGTTAAAAACAATTTTACAAGGGTTCATTTCATCACATAACCAATATATCTTATAAACATAAGACTGGATTTAGATAGCCTTCTTGAAATAAGACCTACCCGTTAACTGGTAGGTACCTTCTCTGGTCTCTTACCCAGAGTCTGAACGGTCGATGTTCATTCCCACAGAACTGGGCACTTACTGCCTTTGACTCTGGGTGTGGACTGCCCAGCACACACACTGCAGGCATCAGAGAACATGAAGCAAATTTGATTCTGAGGATATGGAAAAAGAACTCTGACTTCTTGGACACTAACTACTGCTTATTGCTGCAACTCATATACAATTCGTATACTGGGTTCATTTCATTTTGAAAAACATTGATTTTTTTCCCCCCCAATGTTATTTAACTTAAAAACAAAACCAAAAAACTATTTCTGTTCTTTAACCCTCAGAGGACTGATACATTTAGGCAAGTAAGTAACCAAAGAAGAAAAAAAAATTCAGAACGCTTTCTTTGCCCAGTCTCCAGAGGGTTAAAGAGTGGGGTTTTCTCTAACATCTTACATAAGGCACCCTTATTCCACTTTTTTCTTAAAAGAAACTTTTTCTTTGGTTTCTTGTAATTTTTCAGTGAGTCTGTCCTTTGTCTCCTCCATTTTCTCTGTGATGAGCTCCTTAGTCTCTTCCATTCTGTCCTGCAAATACTCCTTGACAGGTGGTGGGGTTGACATGTAGCCATGACTTCGCAAATACTTCACAGTAAAGGATGTTCCTCCCAAGGTCACAGTGTAGCGGGCGGGTGTCGCAATCTTAAGGGAAGAAAAAAAGCAAACAGGCAGATCAACATCTGATTATGACTATAAACAAAATTAGGTTGGAACTGAAAATTCTGGTAATAATCAGCATACACTATTCGGTTTCAGAAGGTAAGTATATAATACTCTCTATTGTTTGTCTTTCTAACAATTCTGCAGACTTATTTTAAAATGGAGATTTCAGGGTTATCACAGACAGCTGCACTGAGACCCTAATGAATGCTAAGAGCATGGGAGCAGGTCTGCCCACAGGGCAGAAAGAGGGCATGTTTCTGCGCCCTCAATCTCTGCCATGCACCACACATCTGCAGCTGAACTAGCAGGAGGCTGAGCAAGAGTCAGATACATCCTTGCTGGTCTCACTTTTGCTCTGCTCTCAAATCACCTCCCTTTAACTTTCTGCAGGTGCGCTACCATGTCACCATAGGGGCGGGAACTGATGTCTCCCAAGGCCACGGGCAGCCCTTCTTTGTTTTGATCAGAAAAGTAAGGACAAAAGCCAAGAGGCCTGAAGCAGTGGAATGGCTTTGTAAAACAAATGGCCACATGGTCCCGGGAGCTCAAGCAGGCATATTACATAGCAACGTTTGGAAAGTACCACTTATGCTCCCCGATTCTTCTCCCAATTGTTCCCTAGTCCCACCGACCTGCTGACGTCAGTTTTAATGGCTTCTGGGAACAACACCCACCATTAGCTGTGAACAGCCTGGGCCACTCTAAGATGATTCCCAGGCACTTGGAGCCAGGACCACCCCCCACCCGGCCTTTCTCAGGTGCACTGGCCACTTCACTCTAGCTTTGAACAAGGTCTGTAGACTCTTCACTTTCTCACTCCTGATGGCCCGTCCAGGTTCACACTTTTGCTGTCATCTGTATATTAAGAATTCTTAATCTATAGCTCCATACTGCACCCCTTCCCTGAATTCAAATACATGTACAGCTAACTACCTAAATCATTTGCACCTCTGACTCCATTTTAAAACTTAATATGCACAAACTTACTGACCTCTACTGTCCCAGTCAGACCTGCTTCTTCCAAAATTTTACTCACCACAGGAAATGGTAACTTTGTTCGTCCAGCTACTCAGGCCAAAATGAATAGCTCTTAATCCGTTACTTTAACATAATTTGTATGCACATCATTAGGAAAGCCCATTAGTTTCTTTCAAACATATCCACTACCCAATTGTTTCTGACTGCCTTTCCGGACACCACTAGGGCGCTGAACATGAGGACATGCAGTCTAGGCTTCTGCAACAGTCAGCCTCACCCCGATGGCTTGGATTTACCCCACCTTAATGTAAACTATTGTCACTACAGAGGTGCAGTGGTTTGATGTCACATGCTTAAAGTTACCCTATAGTTTCCTGCCCTGTAGCACACAGGCTCCTGATCTGGCAAGATGTCTGCCTCTCTTGCTCATTCCAGTCACAATGATTCCTAGCTAGCCCTCTAGCATCCAGCAGTCCTCAAGGTTTCCTTTGCTGGGACCAACCCCCCCCCCCCCCCCCCAGCTCCCAGAGATACCAGATCAATCTGTTAACTGCTCAGAGCACCTCCCATCTAAATCTGCAATCTGGGAGGACCGGGGGTGTGGGGATGGGAAAAACAAACTAACACACACCAAGACACCTCCTCATCTGGTTTATTCTTTCTTAAAATATTTTTAAATATTTATTTTATGTGCATGTGTGTTTTGCCTGCATGTGTATTATGCATTCAAGTGCTCTTAGTTATATTCTCCTTCTCCTCCTCTTCCTCCTCTTCCTCCTCCTCTTCCTTCTGAGACAGGTTTCTCTGTTTAACAGCCCTGGCTGTCCTGGAACTCATTCTGTAGACCAGGCTGGCCTCAAACTCACAGTGATCCACCTACCTCTGCCTCCCGAGTGCTAGGATTTAAGGCATGTGCCACCACCACCCGGCCTCTTTTTTCTTAATGTTCAGTAACATTTAGTATAAATATACATACACCATTCACACACACACACACACACACACACACACACACACACACACACACACACTCACGCCTGAGTATTTTCAACCCCTCCTTTTCTGTCTCTCCAATTGACCTGCCCACTCGTACTCCCTAGACGACATGCTCTACATGGGAGGTACTTAGCAATGTTTCGTTTTCTTCCCTCCCTTTTTTTCTTTTTCTTAAGAAAGGGTTTCACTGTCTCAGAACGTATCATGTAGACCAAGTTGGCATTGAACTCAGAGAGCTGCTTCCTGTCTCCCAAGTGCTGGAACTAAAGGTGTGCTCCTCCATATCTGGCCCGACAGTGTTTTCTTGAGTCAGAGCTAGGTAAATCTTAGTAAGCTATAGTGCACGTTAAGGCATTTGAGGGTGCTCCGATGTGTACCCAGCTAGCGGCCCAGCACTCTCTTTATGTCTAGCATACCTCACTTTGGAGCTTTGCCTTAAGGAAGAAGGCATCTCTGCTGTTCTACCTGAGGTACTGTGGGTTACAGAAAACACAGGACATACTCCATTTCTCACCCTACAGAGGGACATGAGGGGGAGAAATCCACAGGGTTTGTAGCTTTCCAAATATACTAAGCACCAATGCACCTAAAAGTATACCAGAGAGCAAAAAAACCCAAACAGGCCCCCGAATTCCTGGGAGTTCATAAGCACATAAAGAACACACAATTAAATCAGATGCTATGAAGAAAGGAGTGAGAAAAAAAATGACTTCAACTGCCATCGTGTACTCTGCTACATTATGGTTAAATTTAACCTCCCATAGCTATAAAACACTGAATTTAATGTGAGAAAAACAGCAATTAAACTTTGAGAAAAATTGAGCTCTCAGATGACTCTAGTACAGAAAACAGGAAAAATATTACTTCTGAATAATACTGTAAATCATTATGCTATGTACTTTATACAACAAGTAACACCTACTTTCCCAACATTTTCATTTTATTTGGATATAGAAATCACAGAATCTTGTAGTTTCAAATGAAAAATGAGATTAATATAGCTAAATTCTGTGATTTACAATGAGACTTCCCTTCTACAATAAAGATATTCAGGTCCATAGAAAGGCAACACTGTGTCTACATATTCTGAGAAGTTAAGACTCTCTACAATGAGATACCTAAGAACTAAGCTTGCCGTGTGTCACACAGAACAATTTGGATTAAGCCTTTGCACTCTCATTTGCTAAGGAAGGGTGAACTATTATAAACAATAGATAAACAAATGCTAGATTTCAGTAACAAGTCAGGGTGGGAGGACTCCTGAGCCTGGCAGATTACGGCTTACCTGTTTTTAAGGCACTTCTCCCTAAAGCCATAGTTTTATTCCTGTACTTCCTGTTTATTAGAAATACAAAATGTGAAAGAGGATATTTAAATTATATATAAAGTTCAGAGCTCAATGTGACAGTCTGACAGGAGTGTGCACTTTGTCGAGTAAGCAAGGAACCCACCTTAAACATGGCATATGCTGTCAGGGCATTCCCACTTTGGGAGTTTTTCAGGATGTCCACTACACTGTCAGGTAATCCACACATCTCTAGGAAAGGGACGACATTCACTCCTCTGAAAAAGAAACAAAAATTTAGTCACATATAAGTAACCCTTTAAGGACAGCACTTTAGGGAGATTATCTGAAAACATAAACTACAAATATACATAATATATATTAAATTTTATTTGCTCAGGAGGCTAAAGCTGTGGGCTCAAGAACTGGAGGCCAGGCTGGGCTACATAGTGAGGCCCTTTCTCAATAAACAAAACAACAGTAACAAACCCAACCCAAACCACCACCACCAAAAAAGGGAAAGTTTAGCAGCTGATTCTGTATTGCCTGCTTTCATTTCTCTCGACCCTTTCCTGAAGTTCAATACAAAAGTCGTACTGTCATCCTTCGGCTCGCATGGCCATTCAATGAGTCTACTTAAAAAGCAGTACTTTGATTACAGTCAAAGTACTGGCATGAACTAACAGGAGAGCGGTCAGAACTGTTCACTTGACGTTCATCTCCTCACCCAGACACCATTTTCCTTAGAACACACTGCAACTCACATTTCAGGATCTTAAATTCTTACCTTTAGAACTCCATCAATTATCAAATGAATGAATGATTCTGTGGGTTGGACAAAGCCAACTATTCTAAAAGCAAGCCTTTATGCTTATTATCAGATAAGGAATATCTGTAATAGTAATTATTCTTTATCTAGTAATAAGGAATAGTTACAATAAATTGCAACAGATTCTTGGAGGGAGAGAAGGGAGAAAATTCCCCAAGCTGGTAAGCCCTGACTTCTGTAATTTTAGTTTCCTCGTTTTATTATACCACATTGTTCTAATCTTTCCTGATTATAATTCTGTATCTCTGTATCAGGACAAGGAATCATCCACACAAACTTGTAATTATCACATTCAGGAAATTTAATACACATAATAGTATATGGTTTGTGTGGGGTATCTTTCTGTATGCTTTGAATATGTGTTGCTCCCGCTGGTTAATAAATACAGCTGCTTTGGCCTATGGCAAGGCAGAAGAAGAGCCAGGCAGGAAATCCAAGCAGAGATCTAGGGAGATAAGGGTGGAGTTGGGGAGATGCCATCTAGTCACTCAAGGAACAAGATGCCAGCAGACCTAATGCCATGGCCACAAGGCAAAATATAGATTAATAGAAATGGGTTAATTTAGGTTGTAAGAGCTAGTTAGTGATAAGCCTGAGCAACAGGCCAAATGGTTTGTAATTAATTTCAAGCCTCTGAGTGATTATTTATTTACAAGCGGCCTCGGTACAGGGCGGGACAGAGAAAAGCCTCCGTTTATAATGGTTAATACAAAGAAGTTTATTAACACAAAATCTGTAATTTAAAAAATTGTCCCAGTATACTCTTGGCCTCTCCTCTTTGCAGTCTCTTCTTCCCTGGAGGTGACTGTGAGATCCTCTGGGCAGAAGGCATGGGGACTTTTAGATGTCCAGGATAGCAAGCATGCCATCTGTGAGTGGGACTGTTTTCTCATGAGGAAATTCAGGTTAAATATTGTCCTACAGGGAAGCCTTGCAGGTTGAGCTATGTCTGGTTTAGCATATGACAGCAATTTATAGCATCCCTTTCTCTCCCTTGTCTCATTCCTGGTAATTCAAAGGGTGCCTTTTAACGAAGGCAGGGTCCTCACGTTGCTCCATTATAACTGTCTCTTTCCTTTGTCATTAAGAAAGGGAACTGCCTGGACATACTAAGACAGTTGTATACTATTAATTTATTTTTAATCTAAAAATAATTGAGCTAACAGGGGAAAAGGTGACTTCTCTATGACACTAAACCACCTGGGAGTAGTCTGAGTAGATACTGCTAATCATTACCCAGGAGGACTAGCTGGCATTAAAAATAAGAAATCAGAATGGCAGAAAGAACTATCTTAAAAAGGTAAATTTCAAAATCAACCAGGAGCTCAACATACTACCATTTATCTGCACAGTCAATTTCCTTTTAAGACAACAATAAAATCCTATTAAAGTAAGACCTAGTATTAGACTTGGCCTTTTAATGGATTAAGTCTTTAAAGTAACATCCTATCATAACAAGTTAGTTTAATCTTCCAGCACAAAGATGATTATGAAATTATTTCATAATTTCCTACTTCCAACTAAACCCAGCACATAAAATCTATACAGTTAACACCAATAATAAGTAAAGACAAAATCTGATCAAATAAGAAAATGAATAAGAAAACATTTATCATAAAGATAAGAATCTGAATCAAACCAGAAGATCCAATGTTTGCCACTTTCTGGCCTGGCAGGAATGTGTGCTTACTAATTGTCAGTTTATGGACAGCTCAGCAAGGCCTAAAGAATATTCACTATCTAGAGGAAGTACAGTAAGCATCAGCAGAGCTGTGGCTGAGTGCATCTGTGTGATTAGGAACCCGAGTCTATGCACACACAGAATCTGAAGGCGGGGACAACATAGTTGTTATTGAGCCGTATGTGACTACACAGAATACTTACGTTTAGAGAACATAGATCTATGCCACCTTTTCCAGACAGCAGCAGTCAGGAAGCTCAGTATAAAGCATACCCATTAGCATAATTTAGCTCTGTCTGAAATAAATACATTAAGAGCTCCAGAACATTGCTACTTAGCTAAATATAGAATGATATTTTACTTTCAGGTTGTGGGAGTAACTAAGACAATCAGGTCAGAAATACAACACTGATGCCAATGTCCATCCTTCCAGAAACAGTTCTTTCTCCCTTTCTTTAACAGTAAGTAGGCAACCAACAAGGAAAGAGTGCTTTCCAGTTAGGACAAAATAAAAAGAACTACAATGGTTTTGTTAGCTGGATGGAAAACTGGAGCTTAATACACCCGACTTCAACCTGACAATAAACCATTCCCATTGGAACATATACCAATTTGTTTTCTTCTGTAGACAGTATTTTCTAAGTATTACTTGTGGTTAAGTCATCCACTCAAATATGTGAACTTCAATCGTGTATAATCTGCACCCATTAGGAGAAGCTGTCATTCTGGGCACTAGGTGGTAGCTCTGGCTATCGGAGTCCATGTTGACCAACAGCCCCGGGGGCAAGCTGTGCCGCCCAAGGTGTGTGATTTTAAATCAGGCAGTCTCACGTCTGTATTCTGACACAGCATTTTACAGAAGAAGAGGAAAGACAAGGTTATGTATTTTACAGGGGACTGACAGAATCAGCTGCTTTAGGTGAACTAAAGAAATCTGGAATACAGCTAGTATCTCCAGAATATTTAGGGTCTGCTTTTTCAATAACATAATTTGTTTATCTAAGAAGCAAGGAGAAGTAAAAGGAGGAAATTCTTTTTAATAGGCTGTTACGTAATATTTTGATCGTATTCTGACAATAAAGCTTGCTTGGAGTCAGAGGGTGGAGCTAGCCACTAGCTGACCAAAATGAACCACAGAGGTTTTGGAGGACTGAGTACAGATAGGAGACAGGAAATAGTAAGGCGGGACTGAGAGAGGATCAGCCCTTTTGGAGGGAGGAAGGAGAGAGAGAGGAGATCACTGGTTGCTTCTCCGCTGCTTCTCTCATCATTCAGGTTCTTACCCAGATAGCTGACTCCTGAGTTTTTATCGACAAAGAATAATTAGATAAATGCTACAACAGGCCAAACACAAACCTCATGTTCAGTTAACTAAAGACATAGGTACTGGGAGAAGACATGACCTTTGACAATACTGAAACACAAGACTCCTCAGGCAGCTCCAGAAAGAAAATGTAGTATGTCTAAAGCCACATATGGCAGGACTAAATGGCCGTCAGAACGGAATACCTTCTGTCAACAAATAGGGCAGTTCTGAGGACTTCTACAAATATTCAACATGTATAGAAAGTGTCTTTAACAAACAACATAATGCAAAGAAAGAAACAGAGCATCATCAATTACATAAAACCTGTCCCTCTAGAACTGCAGTGAAGAACACCCAAACCCCATGTTCCCCAGGAAGAGCACCCCATTTCCTGCCATCCTGGGAAGCTACTGTAGCTATCTTGGCAGGAGGGAAGATGGTCTAAAGGGAGACACTTGTCCTTCTGCAGTCAGCTATCAGACTGTTGAGACAGTGGTCCCCAAGGCCTGGAACTGCCTCAGGGGTCATCTGCTAAAAGGAAAATGCTAGAGCCCTGGAGGCCAGCCGAAGGGGAGTGGAGGGCTTGTTGACTTAATGAACAGATGTGAGCCAAGACAATGGTGGAAAGTGATGAATGTGACCACACTTTGACCAGGACTGATTAGTTATACCTACCTCTTGTCTTCTATTTAAATCTAAACCTCACATCAGTACCACAAAGATGGACTCAGGTCTGTGTTTGTGGCTAGTGGTAACAGGACCCATGCTGGTCAAAGTGAATCAACCAGCATTCTCTGCTTTTCACCATTACTTGTCTTTTAAAGTAGAGTACTAAAGGAGGCTAAGCCTAGGCCCAGAATTTGACCCTAAAAACTCTGGTAACAGTATTTTCCATTTAGGAGGCTCATCAGCTTTCTGCCAAACACAACTGTCATATTTTGTTAATGCCTTATCACTAAGCCATTAAACACAACCAGGCATTAAAAATCAGTGGACTTTGATTAAAAGAGTTAGCAAGTGTCTTCCCATGCCTAGGCCACTCTTCAGGCCAAGGCATGTGGCTCTTGAGGGCAGAACTGCAGGTTTTCCCGCTTTCCAACAGAGTGATGAATACACCTTACCTTAAAAGGCAGGAACTGTAACAAAAAGGATGCATACTTTATATAAATACTTTATATTGAACACCAGAGGGTAGGCCTACCAATCTCACTTCTGATCAGAACAAAAAGTCTTACCATGCTATGAATCAGAGTGAATAATCAGTCTCAGCCTGCCATGAGTTCAGGTTAGCTAGGCTCTGGCAAAAGATAGCCTGTCAATTTTCCACCAATACCATTCACCCACCCAAACGAGTAGCTTTTCACATGTAGAAACACCATGGAAACATGTAAGTACAGAACTCATGGTTCGCTGGGCTGGTAAGATGGCTCAGTGGGTTAAGGTGCTCACTGCTCAGCCTGCTGGCCTGAGTTCAACCTGAGACCCACATGGTGGAAGGAGAGAAGTGACTCCTGCAAGTTACCTTCTGAACTCCCATCCATCCAACAATAAATAAACGTAACAAAACAACAACAGTGACCTTACTTCTGAGTCCTCCTAAACATGCAAAGCTGTCAGCAATGAGACCAGGAGATAGCTCAAAGAGAGACAAACCTACTCAGTTCCACCTCTCACTAGCTGAATTATTTCCCCTCATCCAAACTTTCCACATTCATAAATGGGAAGAACCGCACCACTTACTGTATTTGGTTGTTGAAGGAGTGAATGAAGATGGCAGTTAAAAACAGATCAAAACACCTGTACCCATGAACAAACGTTAGATATTCTCATTAAATGTGAAGACAGCTACAAAAAGTAGTTTTCCTCTATCAATGAAGGCATGAGAGGGAGAAGGGCTGGAAAGAGAGCTCAGGGGTTAAGAGTGGATGCTGTTCTTGCACAGGACCAGAGTTTGGTTCCCAGCACCTCCATAGGGCAGCTCACAACCACTCTAACTCCAGCTCTAGAGGAATCTGATGCCTCTGGCCTCTGTGGGCACCTGCATTCATATGTACATACCCCAACACAGACACACGTGCATATCAGAAAACAAAATAAATCTTAAAAAAAAAAAACAAAAAAACAACAAAAAACTGAAGGGCCAGTGAGATGGTTTGGTGGGCACAGGTGCCTGCCTGCATCCTGACATAGCTCAATCCTGGGCACACAAGGTGGAAAGAGAGAAATGACTCCCACAAGTTGTCCTCTGCCCCCCACGTGCTCGGCCACACACATACACACATACAGATAATAAAATCAAAACTATTTAAGGCCATCAGTATAAACAAGAAGACTAATATTGTGATAAAACGTGGGAAGGCAGTCAACTAAGCCAAGACTTACTTTATAGCTGCATAGTAAAATGTTCCAAACCAAATACCGGAAGTTATTAGATGCACAGGAATTAAAACTTTTCCATATTGTCTAAAGGTTTTCTTAAATCGTTGATAAAGACTAATAGACTTGTCTTGTAAAGGATCTTGCTCTTCCTTTTTTTCTGATGGAGAGTCTCGGGATGTGGCACTGGAAGATAAAACCCTCTTGGATAAAATATCCTGCTCCCATCGTTCCTGGCGAAGGACTCCTAGCTGGGGTGGCTGAGCATCTAATAGATTCCTTTGCTTTGCAAGGCACTGAACAGCAGGTAAATGAAGCCACTGCTTTCGAAGGTGTGGTGTCCAAACCACTCTGCATTCACCTCTACGCCAAAGTAATGGTCCTTTTATGCTCCGGTGGTGTTCAAAGAGCCTGGCTTTCTGTGGTTCTGAGAATGTCCTGAGTGCCAGCCGAGACATAGTCCGTGGTACATTCCATTGCATTTTGAAGGATGGTGATGGATTTCAGCTTCTATAGAGACTAGATTTAGAAAAATTATTGTATTATACACAGATTTCCATTTTAAGTCAAACTACGTAAAAATTACCCATTATCCATTAGAAATAAAAGGACAGACAAACTGCTACCTAATTTGCAGGAAATGTGGTAAGGAACATAGTTTTAAGACACTGGGATTTTAACATTTCATAAAACACATCCTTCAAACACAAGCAGTCTGCTTAGCAGACACCACAGAGGGTAATATTAACAAGCCCTTTCACAACTAAAACCAGGGTGTTTAAAAGGACTCTTCTGTTGTACAAATCTGAGTTCAGATGTTTCCATGTACTTGGCTTGCAGACTTTGTCTAAGGCAACAAGTAAAATGATGACTGCTTTAACAGGGCTCTTACAGAATCATGTGCTACTTCTGATATAATCCTCTCTGTAAATATGTTACTTTCACAAGGGTTAAAGTTTGGATAGCTGTGATCAGTAGCATCTTTTCTATAACAGCCTTAGTAATAACAAAGTCGTAAATCACATACATTATTGATGATGGTAACAAACAGCCTGGTATTTTATCTCCTTTCCCCCCTATATCAAGAGAAGAGAAAGAGAAAAAAAGTGTCTTATGATTTGACTCGGCATTAGTGTTGAATTCAGAGTGACAAGGTACTTGGGAGGCAGGGGGATCACAAGATGGGGGCTGGGGGGCAGCCTGGGCTACAAAGGGTGATCCTGTCTAAAGAATTCAAGGGGCTGGAGAAATGGCTCAGCAGTTAAGAGTACTTGTTGTTTTTCCAGAGGACCTGAGTTCAATTCCCAGCACCTATACCAAGCAGCTTACAGCCCTCTGTAATTCCTGCCCCAGGGGATTCAACACCCTCTTCTGGCCACACATACAATCATGCCAAGATAACCTTCCCTCACTCCACTATAAGAGAAGATATACTTTTAAAAGAATATGGACTTCAGAAAAAGACAGTCCTTAATCAAGAATATTTTTGAGCAAAGCATTTAGTCTCTTTAAATGCATGTTTCTCAGTCGTAGATGGAATTTTAAGAACTACCAATGTATAGTCCTTATTCCATCCCAGCAATTTATTACTTCTAACATTGTGAAAACAGATGATCTTATATTTTAAACTGCATTACTACTAACAGCCAGTAAGAGTTCAATAAAAAACTAGTAGTTCCTAATACCTACTTTTACATGAAGGCTCATTATCTGGAGTAGACAGTTGACAGAGAAAGCAAAATCTGTCATCATATAAAAACCTTTATTAATGAATTATCCAGCTTATAAGATCAACTTTAACTTATTTCTTCTCTAGTAATTAATATTATTTCCTACCAGGCTCTCACAGGTAACCCTACATCAAGTATTATGTGGTAAGTGAAAATTCCATTGTAGACTCCCTTCATAAAGGGGTACTGCTTGTGTGTTGACATGGGTTCTCTGTTCACTTCCTACTATCCTAGGGGATCCATAGGCTACATTCCATAGCATTAATGCCCTACTTGTAAAAGCTGCTGCTTTAGTGGCTGCTAAAGCTAAGCCTGATCCTGTAGAGATGTCCAACATTGTTATTGCATATTTTTGTGAGCATTGGCTTTGTACTGGTTCTGTAGTCTAACTATATAAGGAAGTCAAAAAAGTATCTGGCTTGTGTATATTTGTCAGTATTCTGAATTTAAACGTTTCCAGTGGTGTTTTATGTTCTTCATGTCTCTCTGTATTGTCCTTCATATCTTGTGCCATGTGACTTTCTGGTTCCTATCTATGTTCCACTTAATTTTTTAAAGACTTATTTGTATTTCAATGTGTATGTGCAGATACCCGTAGAAGCCAGAAACTGTGTCAGATTCTCCTGGAGCTGGAGTTACAGGCAGTTTTAAGTCATTCAACCTGAGTACTGGAAATCTGAAAGAGCAGCAAGTGCTCTTAAAGACTGACTCATCTCTCCAGACCATTTTCCACTTGGATATTTCAGGGGTACCCGTATGTCCTTTAAATACACACTAGCTCAAGTGGTATGTTTTTTAGGATATGGATCTTTCCTGTCCATTCTCTCCTTCCTTTCTCATTATTTCCTATCCCTTTCCTTGGGAATTCCTAGTATGTCCCATTCTCTCGTTATAAGAGTTATGGGTAGAAATGTATGCTTATAGTAACTGTTTTAATTAACTTCAGTTCAGGTAGTTTGCACTCTATGTTTATGTTCTTATTAGTGCTTCTATCTGGTATTATACTCAGTTGTTTCTGAATCATCTTTCTGAGGCAAAAATTTTTTTAATGAGGTTTCTTATAATCCTTTTCAAGGCTGGCATGGCCAAAAGTCTTTGCCATTTTTTTCGTAGTAATTTTTGGGTTCACTTGTGGAAGCCCAGGGCTAGGCCACTTGTCACTGCCCATGAGTCTCTGAACATGTCAGTTTGGGTTTGTTTTTTGGTTTTTTTTTTTTTTTTTGGTTTTTCGAGACAGGGTTTCTCTGTGTAGCTTTGCGCCTGTCCTGGAACTCACTTGGTAGACCCGGCTGGCCTCGAACTCACAGAGATCCGCCTGGCTCTGCCTCCCGAGTGCTGAGATTAAAGGCGTGCGCCACCGCCGCCCGGCGCCGGGTCTGTTTTTCTAACTGCAGAGTCTGGCTGGAAGGAGCACTGCTCTACTCTCTGCATGCTGTGAGACGTGAAGTGTCTTGTTCAATGCCCTGGGACTGCACTGTTCTGCAGTTTGAGGGCTATAATTCTCCATTTCGTTTTTTTCTTGAGCTTTGATAGCTAGTAGGGGTATTATCTGACCACGCAGGGCTCCATTTCTGATATTGGGATGGTATGTTCTGCCCTTGAAATGAATTCTGGCAAGTCTATCTCTATTTTGTGTATCCTTTCTTTGAGGAGCCCTGACTTAAAGCCAACATCCCTGCTTTGCAAGCACTATTTATAGGTAACAAGTTTCTGGCCAACTTGGATACCTGCCAATTCTTTTGGACTAAACTTTATCCAGTAGAGCAAAGGTACCATATACCTGATTATATTAGGCCTCTTGCTAGTACAAAAGTCTGCATCATAAGTTAGCTAAATACCTTTTCCAAAAGTATATTATTTATTTGGTGCTACAGAAATTTAGTTTTCCAGAATTTTACTGGAATAAAACTATGTTGTGTTTATATGTTCCTTGATCCAAAATAGCCATGTGTTATAATGACTTATAACCTTAATTGTGCACTAGGTGTTGCGTATTACGTTTTATAAAGTATAAAAATAATCTTTTAATGGTTTTTGATCCTGTTGTTCTTCTCCCCAATAAAATTCTGTGATTTTTTTATGTGTATGTTTTTAGGATGATGTTTACATAGGGTAAGTGTTGCTTCCAGTAACCAAATAGAACTTGGCAACCTTTGCACATCCTCTTTAGATGTAAGCACCCTACTCCCCTAATTTTTTTTCTCTTGCTTTTGATTATATACCTGCCATTTGATGACCATTGAAGTCCTAAAAATTTTTTTTTTTTTTTTTTTTTTTGGTTTTTCGAGACAGGGTTTCTCTGTGTAGCTTTGCGCCTTTCCTGGAACTCACTTGGTAGTCCAGGCTGGCCTCGAACTCACAGAGATCCGCCTGGCTCTGCCTCCCGAGTGCTGGGATTAAAGGCGTGCGCCACCACCGCCCGGCTGAAGTCCTAAAAATTTTTAAGTGGTGTCTGGTCTTAGTTTTTCCTTATTAATTCCTTTTCCACCCTGATCACCTAGCCACTTTCATAATCAACACACAACACTCTGTGACTAAATATGCACCCCCTTTTCTCCTTCTTTATTTAAAACACACACACACACACACACACACACACACACACACACACACACACACCATGCAATTCCTCAGAAGGACAACAACAGAATATTTTCTCTTTCAAGGTGATTTGGACACTATATTTCAATTAAAGTCAGATCTCATTGTACAAGGTTAACATGACTGACACTAAAACCAGACAATGGTACAACTAGTATCACTGGTAAACAGACAACACTAACACCCCCTCTCCCCCCACAATACTGGCAAATCAATTCTAACTACATAGCCAAAAGTTTATACAGCATGAAAAGTGAGATTTACTACTGGGGTGCAATAATGCAATAATGTTTCAACGTATGAAAATTAAAAGACCTAACAACACATCAGCTTAATGAAAAATTGTGATTATCTTTATAGATGTAGAAAAAGAACATATGCAATAACTATCCCAAACAGATCAGGTATGGAAGAATCAGTACTCAACACAACTTCTACATGTGTCAGACCTATAGCCAATGCCATACTAAAATGAGAAAACCTCACCGTGTTTCTTCTCATATCCGAACACAAGGATATCTACTCTTTTTCAATATATCACTTTAGCCAAAGCAATGATGAAAGGGAAGCATGTGTATGAAGAGAAATTTAATTATCTTTGTTTGCAAATGACATTATCCATTAAAAAAAAAACTAGACTCTACCAAGACTCACAGAATTGGCAAATTTAATAAGCTGCATGATAAAAAAAACATATAAAGTCTATCATTTTTATTTACCAATTCAAAACATGCATTTCTTGGGAATTAACACCAAACCTTGATACAGACCCAGCTTTCCTCTGTAACCCATCCCCATCCCATTGTGTCAGCCTCCAATACCAAGACATACTAACTATCTACCTGGGCCCTCTGTGGCCATACCAGGCTGGGACTCAGGTAGGCAATTCACACCATCCTTCCTGTCCTCCATTATCATCCCCCCTTCTTACCCTCAGCTCTGTAATAACCAGCTCGAAGGTGCCCCTTCTCCCACTTGAATTCCATTCACTGGAGGCTCTTGATACAAAGGCAGGACCCCCCTAGCCCGCTCATCCCTGTCTCTCCAGATTATTCTTTGTCTTACTGTAACTAACTTTCAGGGCCCTTCCTCACATCACATCTCTGACTTCCTGGGGAGTCTACCTCTTGGTGTGGACCCCTTAGCTCTTTCCCTTGGCTTCTCTCAGCCTTTTCTCCTAGGCCATCT